CTTTACTCTTCCGTGCTCCTCCGCGCTCCTACACTCTGTGCAGCTTTTCCGACAATTCCCCGGCGTGCAATGAAAGCGTTAATAAATTTCATGAGTCCTCGCATAAAAACTTCCGCCCACCTACTCTTCTGGCCAGCACTTCGGGCTTTGAAATGCAAATTGTGATTCCTGGCCCCTTGCTCGCTTGCTTTAAAAATGTAAATCACATTTACAATCAGATTAAATCTCAATAAGCATTGGACTAAAATTCAAATGCCATTTTGCCATTAGACCACACAAATATTGTCACAGAAATCAAGGCAGGCCGCCCCTTTACAAAGTTACCCGCAGAGTCCGCCCAGAAGTGGAGTCATTCCGTCCCCGTTCCAGATTTTCCTTTTAGACTTTCCCACACATATGGCGCAGCGGGAATGTTCTCCCCTGCCCAATGCCCCCTTGCCTCTTATTTATTTAAAAACATGGCAGCAACTGCGTAGCTACACGAGAATGTTGCATTGAATTAACATTTAGAGAACACACACAAAATAATACCTTGTTCAGCAGGCAACAAAAACGGAGCTACATGTTACACATTTTTAATGTTCTCTGATGCCACTTTAGGAATAAAAATAAAAAAAATGAATTTTTTAACGGGTGGAAAATGCAAACTAAAAAATAAATGAATGCAAATAATTTACAATGGAATAAAGTGTTGGCAGTGGAAAGTTTTCCCTGGGAAATTAGCATAAAAAAATTATTATACATTTCCCTTTGGGGGAAAAAAACAGCAGAGATAAATCGTCGAACTATTACCGAAGAGGACTCTTCAGACCTGAAGAGAGCCCGATGAATGGGCGGGAAAAATAGCTCACATACATATTCCAATGAAGTTCACACTTAATTGATCTCAGTGTATTAAGTGAATGTTTACGAACTGTTTTAAGTGTTTCGTTTATGCAGCTCTTCAAAAATTAATAAATGTTCCTTTAATTTCTTTTTCCAGTTGGCAACGTGGGCAGTCTGGTTATAAAAAGATTTATTCAATCAGAAATTAAAGTACAAAAATAGCTGATAATGTAGTTGATATAAAAAGTGCTTATCAGGATCTGATATTGTTTGGAATAAATTATATAAATTCCTCATTTTACAAGGGTCAACCTTAAAATATTTTAAAGGACTTTTGGCAGTGGCGGATTTAACAGGTGGGCAAAGGCGCGCTTGCCCACTGCACCCCCACGACGAAAGTCTTTCAGGGCCCCTCGTGCTGAAAGTTACACCTTCGATTTCTTTTCCACAAATCTGCATCAAAATCTGGGAACAAAATATTTTTAAGATATTTTGTCAAATTTTCTGGGCTGTCCCCTTCAAAATGTGCAAAATGCATGGGGAGCCCCATATGACCCACTGCGTAGGCCATATCTTAGGAAATATTCATCCGATTCTTGAACGGAATACCTTAAACGATTTATGGATCGATTCTTCATAAATCTGCATCAAAATCTGGGAACAAAATATTTTTAAGATATTTTGTCAAATTTTCTGGGTTGTTCCCTTCAAAATGTGCAAAATGCATGGGGAGCCCCGTATGACCCACTGCGAAGGCCATATCTTAGGAAATATTCATCCGATTCTTGAACGGAATACCTTTAACGATTTGTGGATCGATTCTCCATAAATCTGCATCAAAATCTGGGAACAAAATATTTTTAAGATTTTTTGTCAAATTTTCTGGGCTGTCCCCTTCAAAATGTGCAAAATGCATGGGGAGCCCCGTATGACCCACTGCGAAGGCCATATCTTAGGAAATATTCATCCGATTCTTGAACGGAATACCTTAAATGATTTGTGGATCGATTCTCCATAAATCTGCATCAAAATCTGGGAAAAAAATATTTTTAAGATTTTTTGTCAAATTTTCTGGGCTGTCCCCTTCAAAATGTGCAAAATGCATGGGGAGCCCCGTATGACCCACTGCGAAGGCCATATCTTAGGAAATATTCATCCGATTCTTGAGCGGAATACTTTAAACGATTTGTGGATCGATTCTCCATAAATCTGCATCCAAATCTTGAAAAAAAATATTTTTAAGATTTTTTGTCAAATTTTCTGGGCTGTCCCCTTCAAAATGTGCAAAATGCATGGGGAGCCCCGTATGACCCACTGCGAAGGCCATATCTTAGGAAATATTCATCCGATTCTTGAGCGGAATACTTTAAACGATTTGTGGATCGATTCTCCATAAATCTGCATCAAAATCTTGAAAAAAAATATTTTTAAGATTTTTTGTCAAATTTTCTGTGCTGTACCCTTCAAAATACCCTTCAATGTACCCTGAAAAAATTTTGACCACTGGGCCTTTTTCCTTAAATCCGCCGCTGACTTTTGGCAAAGATATAGCCTTCGCCAATTTTCATATTGTCACTCTGACGAATTTGCTAATTTTTGAAGGAAATAGAATATTTGACAAGAAATTTAAGAAATAATTTATGTCAAGATTTTGATGCAGTTTTTGACGGAAAATCGATCGAAAACTCTTTTAAGGGATTCCGATTGAGGATCGAATATGTATATAGAAAAGTCTAAAAAAATAAGTTTTTGTTCGATTTTTTATTCAGTTTAATGATAAATCTATCCAAAATTAAAAAAGGAATTTTCCTTAAAAATCGGTTGATTAATGACATAGATACAGTGTCATATTGCGCCACCCATACATTTTTGAAATTCTGAAGAGGTCCCCTAGAAAATGACATCAAATCTAAATAGAAATGTTTTTCAATATGTATGTATTTGTAAAATCGATGGAGTATAGATTAACAAGTATTTTTAAGTGTTCCACCTTAGAATCGGATTCCAATTGGCAGAGGATTTATTACCATTTATTATTTGTCACAGAATTTGTTATGTGACTTTGTTTTAGAAGGTCCTTTTTAACGTAAGCTCATAAAATATTTCTTTAAAACAGCAGGACATTTTTAATAACCCTCCCTAGTGTTTTGCACGAGCTATGCTCTCTTTCCGGTTGCACTCTTAAAATTAAAACTGCCATTGTGCGTGACTGTCTAGACCGCGCATTTATTTGCCCATGGAGCTGCAGTAAACAAAGGAAATGACAACGGCAAAGGATGAAGCTTGAACAATGCGCAACAATATATACAAGCACGCCTACTGTCGTGTCGTGCACTGTACGCAGGCATTCCATTTTTAATGACAGCCAGTCAACAAACGTGGCCCAGCTGGTGGTGAGGGAGGTGGCTTGTGTTTAAAGCATCACTCGAGCTGTCTACCCTCATAACTCGCATAAATCATTGCGCTTTTCGGGCTTGTGTAATGAAAGCGCTTAACAGCTACTCGAGAACTCGAAACTCGGAACTCAGTTCCCAGATCCGGCACAGAAACAGAAACAGAAGCCGCAGCAAAAGCCACTTCAAGCGCATTACATGACTTAACACTCCGCGACTCTCGAACAAGAGTCAGCAGTCGGTAGTCGGTAGTCGGCAGTCGGTATTTGGTTGTCGACACTCCACAATGAGAACCATCAAGCCAAAATGATATGACACCGCCAGCGACAACCCAATCTGATTTAAGGATAGGCCAAGGGACCTGCCTTGGGTAGGGAAAGGGAACAGGACTGTGACTTGTGGCTTACCTTGGAGACTGTCAGGACAAATAAAACGGCTGCCCACATTCAAATTAGCACTTGTCGCCCGTTAAATCTGGCTCCCGGGAAGTTCAAGTGCCACAGATGCGCCTGGCAGTCACTGTGTGCACTCGAAAAAATTGTCAAAAAATTATCACAATAATATTTAAGAAGTTAGTTTAGTTTAGCCTGGATTATCAAATCTAAACACAAACACATATTTACTTTTCAAAGAAAAATATGAACTTACCTTAGACTCTTTTCCCACCATGTAGCACTGCCAAAAGTTGGCTCTGAAACCGCTCTGCCTGCACTTTATGCTTTTGATAAATCATTTGAGTTGCCACGACTTTTCCACCAAGGTGCTTGGAACAATGTCTCAGCTTATAAATCTTGTTTGGTCTATCGCGAGATGTATGTGAGGGGCACACGTGGAGCCAGAGTTTCTCCTTTTGTCTCCTCGAGCTCCAGGGTTGTGTGTACTTTTTGATAAATACGCGGCTGACTCTTTTGGCAGCCGGTCCAGTCCACTCCACAGGAACTTTTTCCTGGAATGATACCACTTGGTGCTTGGCAGCTCTGCAGATTGGCATGAAAAATGAAAAATGCTTCGAGAATCCGTGAATATGCACGAGTCGAGTGCGTGCCAAGCTAATTAAATGGAAATCAATTTCTCAGCCACATCGACGCTGCAAAGCTATACATACATGTGTATATAAATATATATTTTTTTTTTTAATGGTCGATAGCGATGTTAAATCGATACATAAATGCGGGAGGTGATAACCGAATTCATGGAAATTGGTGGGTTTTTTGCCTAAATGACCTTAGCCAAGACCAAAATAGTTATCAGCCGTGGTTCTATCAGTTCTGAGAACTGGATTCAAGTTCTCGGAATAGACGAGAGCTAGACCACTGATTTATGGTCTTGTAATCGGTAGATTAAGATCCATCTTTAAGTAGCTCCTCAAATGGATGGAGTAAATCACCTCGCTGGTTGGCTGGGTTGGATTTATTAGCGCCGTGATTCAGAAAAGCCAAAATAGCGCCTTATATCATATCATTCCATAATGCAGATAAAAAGGTACGCGTCTGTCAGACCCTAAGGGGACGTGTGCCGGGTTATCAGGTAACATGGGCGTTGATTGGAGTTTCATTTTACTTGGCAACCACTTATCTTAGCCTGGAGCTGGAGCTGGAGATGAGTTTTAGCCAAAAACCTAATTATAAGAACATTTAGGATGTCTTCTTGTTTTTTTTTTGGCTCTATCTTATCGTAGTGCATTGCCAATTAGTGCAGGCCCAGAAGAATCTTCCCCTTCAGAAGCTGCTATATATAAAGAGGCTGACACTTTGCAGAATCATTAATTCGACAGTAATTGGAGAACAATCAGTTAGAAATTCGAAGATGCAGCTTTTTACACAAGCCCTCATTCTGGCCGTGGCTCTTGTCAGCGTAAGTTTGCTTAAAAATATGACACATTTTTTATAGTCTGCAATTTTGGCAAAAAACTACGATAAACAATTAATTTATCAAAGACATATGTCGAATGTTGTATAATTAAACTTTTACTCACACCCCGAAGTATACAAAGTTGCAAAAAAAGATAATAAACACAAAGTCACTTTCTCAAGATAAGAAAAAAACCACTTCACTTAATTTAAACAAAAGTATATATTTTGTACAAATGTTCATCGTAAAAAAACTAAAATTACAGGTCAGTGCTGTTCCCAACTTTGGTGGTGATTTGAGCCTTTTCCGTATGGTTATGGGAGAGGCTGAGTCCCGGGTCCTGACTCCCGCTGCCCAGACCTGTGCCAACAACTACCTGAACGCCACCCAGAAGAACGGAGACAAGCTGGCCAATGCCACCAACCTCTGTGAGGAGGCCGCCAATCGCACCACCGTGGCCAACAGGCAGCAAAGCAATGCCACAGTAACCCTGATCCGCACCCAGCTTCTTAATCTGGAGAAGAACCTGGAGCTGTGCCGCAACGAGACCGATTCTGCAAGGTTCCTCAACTGCACCACTGCCACTGTGAGTTCGAGTTTGTACGAATAAGTGACTTTGACACTAATAATCCGACTCATCTTTGTAGTTCGATAAGAACCTTCAGCTCTTGGACACCTCCAACTCCCAGGCTTACCAAACTCAGACCCTGTTTGTGGCCAACACCACCCAGGTGGCTGCTGCCAGGACCAACTGCATCAGTGCTGCCGTTAGCGAGGCCAAGGTGGCTGCCATTCAATCTGCCAATGATTATGACAGCTGTGTGGCTAAAACCCAGGCCCAGCGAGACATTCCTCATGAAGAAATTAGGCCTGTTCAGGAGGAGGTTTTCCAGCAGCCCATCCAGCATATCCAGGAGGAGCCTATCCAGGAAGAGCCGATTCCCCAGCAGCAGACCGTTTTCTAGAAAGAAAATTATAATGAAATAAAAACAGTTCTCTGTAATTACGATTAGTCATTGTGTTTTTCCTTATAGATAGAAGTTTGTTTTTTTTATTTTAAATCAAAAACCCTCCTTGGCCATAAATCATAGAATTTCCCAAGCCCCTTTCTTACTCATTCTGTTTGGGGCTTCCTGCCACTTCACTCCAGTTCCGCGTTCGAGACTTTATCATAGTGACGCGACCACTCATTGTTATCAACAAATAAACTGCTTAAGACTTATCACCTGGCCACCACACAACGGCCTGATTGCGGCCGCAATTATAGATAAATTCAATTAATGAATACAAAATAAAATATATCAAATTCGAAGTGCTTTAAAATGGTCACCTGCCATTGAAATCGAACAGAAACGAACCGAACCCCCAAGATGGAGGTTCTCGGCAAAATTTTATTATTGTGCTCACTGCTAGTCAGTGCCCAGGTAACAGTTCACATAACCTTTTAGAGAAGGATCGCGTTATATAACACCGCTTGTTTTTTAAGGCTTTCAAGGCCCTCGAACCACCCAAGAGCTCAAACAAGCCGCAATGGCAATCCATGCTGTTCGATGCTCTGACTGGAAATCTTCCAGAACCCCAGGCTTATGAGAATGCTGACTTGTCGGACTGCACTTCCCTTTACACGGTCGAAAATATTGAGATTCTGGTGACGGCTGGAATCAAGATCCATCGTTGCTACCAACTGGATGCCAACGATATCAGACGTTATCTTGAAAGCAACGACTTCCTTTACACCAAAGCCATCTTCGAGGCAGAGCTCTTCGGCTGTTTGCTTCTGGACTCGCGACGAAAGACCCGTGAATGTTACGCAGAGACCGTATGTATTTGTTTTGCTATTCACTTTTAAACGGTAATGTATAAAATATACCCTTTTCAGATCCAAAACCTGCTTGGTGCTGTGCGTCCCAGCCAGCGGGACTATCGCCGCAAGTGGGCTTGCATCCTGCGGGAAGTTGAAAAGGCGGTGTTGAAACTCGATGCCGCTGAAAAGAGTCTGGCCAGTTGCCTTGTCCAGATCGCTCCACCCCAGAACAGTACCTTGCCACCGAATGTCAACACCACCACCGATGGCCCTGGATGGGGCACCACTCAGTGGCCCAACACGAACACCACACCCAACTTCACCATCACCACCACCGAGCCAAACTGGGGAAATTCCACCCTGGAACCGACCTTGAACACTACCTTGGGACCGAATTGGAACTCCACTGAAGGACCCTGGTGGGGCAACAACTCTACTGAAGGACCCTGGTGGGGCAACAGCACCTCTGGACCCAACTTAAACTCAACTGAAGGACCCTGGTGGGGCAACAACTCTACCGAAGGACCCTGGTGGGGCAACAACTCTACCGAAGGACCCTGGTGGGGCAACAGCACCTCTGGACCCAACTGGAACAACACGACTGAAGGACCTTGGTGGGGCAACAGCACCTCTGGACCCAACTGGAACTCCACCGAAGGACCATGGTGGGGCAACAACTCTACTGAAGGTCCCTGGTGGGGTAACAGCACCTCTGGACCCAACTGGAATAACTCGACTGAAGGACCTTGGTGGGGTAACAGCACCTCTGGACCCAACTGGAACAACTCCACGGAAGGACCTTGGTGGGGTAACAGCACCTCTGGACCCAACTGGAACAACTCCACGGAAGGACCTTGGTGGGGTAACAGCACCTCTGGACCCAACTGGAACAACTCCACTCAAGGACCTTGGTGGGGCAACAGCACCTCTGGACCCAACTGGAACTCCACCGAAGGACCATGGTGGGGAAACAACTCGACAGAAGGTCCTTGGTGGGGCAACAACTCTACTGAAGGTCCTTGGTGGGGCAACAACTCTACTGAAGGTCCCTGGTGGGGTAACAGCACCTCTGGACCCAACTGGAACAACTCCACGGAAGGACCTTGGTGGGGCAACAGCACCTCTGGACCCAACTGGAACAACTCCACGGAAGGACCTTGGTGGGGTAACAGCACCTCTGGACCAAACTGGAACAACTCCACGGAAGGACCTTGGTGGGGTAACAGCACCTCTGGACCCAACTGGAACAACTCCACTGAAGGACCTTGGTGGGGCAACAGCACCTCTGGACCCAACTGGAACAACTCCACTGAAGGACCTTGGCTTGGAAACTCAACCCAAGGACCTAACTGGAACAGCACTCAGGCCCCGGTCTGGAACACAACCACCGTTGGGGCTCCAACCACCACAGAGGGTAACTGGTTCGATCACCTTATGGGAGAGATCCGAAACATCTTTTAAGACCAGAGAGCATAAACCCGGTCCGGTAACGGAAAGCGGAGCACTGGTGGTATAAGCTTCTGGCTGTCCAATAAATAAAGTAATGTCGCATTGAAAAGCTTTTGTGATTAGCCTCTAGTGGGTGGCAAATCGATGCGGGACGCTCCACTTGGCAAGTTGATAAGCCAAGGGCTTCGACGGGAAGAAAGCGAACCGCAAATTAGACAGAACCACAGCCTCCCATCGAGGGCCACCCGCTTGGGGCACGGACTGATTAAGATTTATTAGCCAGCTGCTGAGACCACGTGTCGTGGACGGCTGGGGAAAATGATGGATTTCAGTGAGACGTCAGCAAAATATTTCCAATACTGGGCCCGAGCGTGGCCTTGAGTTTTGTTCGAGGCCCTTCGCCGAACGGCTTTCCCTTTTATTTTTTTGCTGTTGTGCCAAAAACCCGCATACATAACGAGCAACGAAGCGCCATAATTAGTTAGGATCTATCACAAGGACTTCAATAATGAGCCGGCCTCCAGCTAAACCAATAAAATAATCATGGATTAAATAAGCCTTTAGTGGAACAGAAATCACACAGGGCTTTGAGCTAGGGGCCAAAAGGTTGAATAATTGCAGAGGACCATCGGACCCATCGTCTGACATTTGCATAACCTCCTGTCTGTCGAAGTGTATGCCTGGCAACCAAAGTGGTGCTGTGGTTGCGCCGCACAAAGGGAAGCTGACCTAAACAATGGAAGTATGCGCAAAACTTTTAACCTCGGCGCCAGTAGATAAATCAACCTGGATCATCACCCACAGCATTCGTTGTCAGCACACACCTTCATTGTGTGTCCAGCAAGAGGTAAATCCCCTACAGACACACAGGCACTTGAAGAAAAGAATTATAAAGATTAAATGTTAATCTTTAACAATCATTTTAGACAAAAATATAAATAAGTTTCTTGCCATTTTGGCTTTCGTTCCTTATTTATCAATAAAAGCTATATTACCACATCTGACTTACCACTTTCTTTCTTCAGTGCATCCACACACAATCGAAGCGTTTCTGTGAATCTGCCAGTTACATTCATGCCTGAAGGTGTGTGCCTGTGTGTTCAAACATTTTCCCACTCTGGCCAGGACACTGCAGCTATAAATTGCAGCAGGACGCCCTTCTCGCTGGACGCGTGTGTGTGAGTCAATATTTTTTCATGTTAATTCAACTTGCATGGGTGCGGCACCCAGTGATGGTGATGAGGTGAGCCCCGGACTGCTGGACGCCTGGACTCTTGGACTCCTGGAATGTAAATCAAGGCTAGCAATCCGAATCAGGATACGAAACTGATTCTGGCTCACCGTTTCGCTTTAACTTTTGCCCCCGAATCGTTAAAAGTTTTAATGGAAATGCTCGAAATTAAGTGATCAATTAACATTAAGTACCGAAATGCAGGGTGAAACTTCATAAAAAATGTTAGGGCAAGGTGATTAGATTAAAGACAAAGGATTGACCCTTTGGAAATCAAAAGTTTTCACGGGTTGTCCGATCCCCTAACCCAACCCAACCTAACATAACACTAAACGTAACGATGAGCGTTACGATGTTGTCGGCTAAATTGCCAATTAAGATTTTTAACGATTCCAGCCATGGCGAAGACGAAGACTAAAAGACTAAAAAGCTGGCAAACTTGAAATTAGTAAGTCATTAAAGAGCGACCGGGCCAGCCGGGCAAAAAAGAGCAGCCGGATCCGTTAAAGAGTAGAGCACTCAAAAAGGTGCCTTGGGTCAGGTGACGGGGCGTGGCCAGGGCTGAGTGGGAGACACAGCAGCTGACAGGCTGACGTTTGGGTAACTAATAGGCCTTATTTGCATGTTAATTGCTCTCGACTAAGTCAACACCAACAGCAGCCAGCAGCCAGCGTCCTGGGCACAGCCAGGAAAGCATCAGCGAGGGTAAACGACAGCATAAAAGTATTATAATAACAGTAGCAAAAATTTCCCAGCAACACGAAGAAAACAGCAACAAGAATAATGAGCGAAGCAAAGGAAAAGCTACTAGTATGGCTAAAAAACAAACTCACGTTTTGCATTAATTTTGCCGGAGAAGACCTGGCGACAAGGCGGCATCGGGCGGAAGAAGTGTCGCCGGAAAGTAGGCAACACTCCTCTAATGAACCCATTAAATTTGGCAGCCACATGAAATTATGCTGCCATTTTGAATTGTAACCACCACCGCAACCAGTCACCACATTGTAACCCGACATTGATGTCTCTCTGTACATCCACATGTGTGTACATAATTTCATGGTACGCACATATAAATCGCTTTGAGCACATTCTCTGATTCGGCCATAATTGTTTGTACTTTGTTTTTCGGAGCACACATGCTGGGGAATATTTCACAGTCAGCCCGCAAACTATTTGCCTAATGACAAACATAAAGCAGCGAGCTACATTTTGCAAAAACGCAAACAAATAAATACTTTTTCTTTTGCCGCTTGCCGTTTGCGTTTGCCATTCATTTTAATTTCATTTTTAGAATCTGCATATGCATGTCGCTTTGTTTTGTGGTTACTGGAATTCAAGCCAGCCAGCCAGGGGGTGCAGGATATAACAATTTCACTAACTAACGCCATCAGCAGATAAACTAACAACTGAACAACTTTGGCGTATATGCGGAAATTATGCAAAACTACCAGAAAAAGCTAAAGCCAAAGCCGATTTGTTCGACCATAAACAAATAATAAAAAGTCCTTGAAAGGAGAACCAAATAAATTTCATTTTTAATTTTTATATTTTAAGTAGGTTTTATATTAAATATATAAAGTTTTAATTGTACTTTCTAAAATGGTTGTTAGAGCACGTTTTCTATTTAATCCTGAATAATTTCTGTAATGTTCTCAAATTGAATAATACATTATGATAATGCCACAATCCTTAATCTAATTAAATGATTTCGACAACTGAATGAAAACGCATGCAATTATACAATCGGCACCAACCAAACAAAAATATAAATACGTATACGAAAAAACAACAAATTAATTGAGCTGAGAATGCTAACCATTTTGTTAAATCGATCAAAGTTAATTGAAGTCAGACCACCACCGCCATTTGCATGTCATACATATTTAACAAACAGAAAAACACTCAACATAACCGACTGCAACAGCAGTCAAATTAGCATAAATTGTGAGGACCCGGCCGCACGCAACATGCGACATGCAACACGCCACAGTGCGAGGGCTCTAATCAAAAATTACCCTTCGTGTTTTTATGCAATTTGCGCATAGTTATGAAAATGTACGATTAACAGCGAACAGGGAGACAACAAAAAATAAATCGTAGAGCTCGCAAAACAAGAAGAAAACCAAAAATCAAGCACATAATTTGAGCCACAACTTGTGGCACACGCAACTGCAAAGCAAAACAATTGCCGGATCTTCCGATCGAATAATAAAACGGAAGCCCATCGTGTGTATCGACTCCAACACATCATATAAATAAACCATTAATGCCCAATGAAATGGGAACCCTTTACCTTTTGCCACGTGGCGCATACTCGAGTACCTCAGGAAGTACAAAAATCAGAAAAAAAGAGAAAAAGTAACCCGAAATCACATGCAATAAAAAGTGTAATTTGTACACTAAATATGTGAGCAAGGTGCGAAAGCCATAAAATGCCAGTCAAGCCGGTATGTGCCACGTGCAGTTGGGATATTACGTATACGCAGCGTTACATACTTAGCCGGAAGCTCAAGTCGCTAACTAGGAAATAGTCATAGTCAAGTTTATCTTTATCTCCTGGCTATGCACCGCAGGCCATGCCCATAAATTCACAAGTGCGCCCATTAACGCTCCAGTCTGGCCGCCCGGCCGCCTAGCCAAAGTCCTTAAAGCATAAAAGCCGCGTCCATAAATTTAGCCCGCCTAATACAATGTCGTCCCGACCGGCGAGCATAATGGCCTAAGTAAGCGGTTAACACTTGCGGAATGAGCAGAAGAATCCTGGTGAGAATCCTGCGGCAAAGCCAGTGCCTGGCGAGACAATGGCTTTCCACGGTCCCAGCCGCAACTGCGGAAGACTCCATTAAATTGTCAATTGTATGAAAAAAAGGGAGCCGTGGAATGGAATTGAAATAAACAAGAAAGGAAAGCTAACTTCGGGCTGAGCCGAAGTTTATATACCCTTGCAGTTAAAACCGGATATATATCGCAAACATCGGATATAGTTGGCCGATCCTTATGGGAATAGGAATATATACTCCAATTTATTACAATACAAAATCTAAAAAAAGTCCCAAGCTTCTATCTTCAAAAATACGAAAGTTGATATTTCTACCAAATACCATTTCCGATCGTTCAGTTATATGGCAGCTATAGGATATAGTCGGCCGATCCTAATGAAATTTGGTAGGTTGGATCAACTGACCAAAAATAGAGTCTGTACTAAATTCCAGCTTTCTATCTTCAAAAACACGAAAGTTGGGTCATTTCCGATCGTTCAGTTATATGACAGCTATAGGATATAGTCGGCCGATCCTTATGAAATTTGGCATGTCGTAATATTTTGCCAAAAATAGCTCTCATGTGAAATTTGAACTCTCTAACTCTAAAAATACCAAAGTTATACCATTTCCGATCAATCAGTTATATGGCAGCTATAGGATATAGTCGGCCGATCCGGGCCGTTCCGACTTATATACTGCGTGCAAAGGAAAGAAGGGTGTGTGCAAAGTTTCAAGACGATAGCTTTAAAACTGAGAGACTAGTTTGCGTAGAAACAGACAGACGGACAGACGGACAGACGGACAGACGGACAGACGGACAGACGGACAGACGGACAGACGGACAGACGGACATGCTCATATCAACTCAGGAGGTGATCCTGATCAAGAATATATATACTTTATAGGGTCGGAGATGTCTCCTTCACTGCGTTGCACACTTTTGGACAAAATTATAATACCCTCTGCAAGGGTATAAAAAGAAATCATACATATATAAGAACTGAAAGTAATACGGGGAATATCTGCATATCGGGCTGCTGCGTAATTGAACTCTACAATTGTTGAATTTACTGCAATTTTATGGGCTACTGTGGACGCAAATTGTGCGCTCGCTGA